GACAGGATTTTTGTTTGTCATTGTGATCCAATCATTCACGAATCTTTGTTTTTCAATCAGTTGTGCTCCATCGAGGTGACCTGTGAGAGTGCCAGCGTTATGGCGGCAACTCTGGCCAACGGCGGTTTCTGTCCAATCACGGGCGAGCGTGTGCTGAGCCCTGAGTCTGTGCGAAACACCCTGAGTCTGATGCACTCCTGCGGCATGTATGACTTCTCGGGACAGTTCGCTTTTCACGTCAGTATCTCCTCGTCCTGATCTCATGTTCAACCTGCTACCATCTCCCTGTTTTCCCGTTTTGCACCAGAACTTTAAAAATCTGCACATTCTGTCCTTATCTTGTCATTAAAAAGGCTATTTAATTTTACTTACATTAACTTTACAATTTTCCCCAAACTGCACACAATTGCAGGGTTTCCTATAACTTAGACAATTGAAAATACAGTGCTCTGCTACTGGAAAAAGTTACAAATAATAAACAAAAATAGCAGGTTTACTTACGTCAGTATGTTTATAACTTCACCGGTTAACCGTTTTCTCTTTTTCACTCATCTCCATAATTTTCCTCATAAGTGCTTTGATCTGTTGCTCATACCGAGGCTTGTAGTTAGCAAGCCTGAAAGGAACCATCTCATAATCAGACATGCATGAGGCTGATCTCCGGTCAGGGCCCAGAACGCTGGAATTCTGCTGATCCTGTCCGTCTCTAATTTTATGTTTTTCAAAACAAGACGAACAGCAAGCGATAGATCCTAACCAACAATATTTACAACTTGTAATAATTACAAGAAAAACTCTTTTTATTCTTTTAAACGTTCTGGACTAAATTGAAATAAAGTAATGAAGAAATAGACACAAAATCCGACTGTGTGTTTGCTTTCAGGCTCGGGAGTATTCAGGAATTTTCATGTCTTAAAATTTACCTTTGAGCCTATCGAAGGTGGCGACTTTGTGTTGCTTTAATCAATAAATAAGACTTTCCTGTCATTTCAGGCCAATTAACCAATTAATGTATTTTATGCTTGAGTGAAGCAAACTGGTGACCACGAGTTGAAAATATTTTTTTACAGGCCTGGGGATTTTCCTTTGGCATAGGGCCGAAATCCCCCAAAGGGTGGACATCAGAATTTCTTAAATGCAGAAAAATCGCAGAGCTGAACACATTCAAATCAAATCAGAAAACTCTTTTAAAATGGGTTAACTGGGTCTCAACTGACCAGCAGCGCCATGACTTATGTTACCTGTAATGGTTTTTTGGGGCGGTTTGGGATCTGTTGGTTACTTTAAGAAAGATGTGAGCCACATTCTCTCTTTCTGCCTCAGGTTGGTCTGCCGGCTAAATCGGGTGTGGCTGGCGGGATCCTGCTGGTCGTTCCCAACGTGATGGGCATCATGTGTTGGTCTCCTCCGCTCGACAAGCTGGGCAACAGCGTCAGAGGCATCCAGTTCTGCACGGTAACGTCATCTTTAAAGTCATTTCCTGGACTATGCTTGAGTAGCTTTGCATGATTCAAAGTTCAAAATAATCCTTTATCTCCTTTATCTCACCCTAAGATACTTTTATTATTCTTTTTTAATATTTGGGTCATGTTTTCTCCTTTTAGGATTTGGTTTCCCTGTGTAACTTCCACAACTACGACAACCTGAGGCACTTTGCAAAGAAGCTGGATCCTCGCAGGGAGGGAGGAGACCAGAGGGTGAGCGCCAGCACCATCAGCCTTCATCCTTCTCCGTTTTCACAACCTCGACTATTTTGACCTTTACAC